GCTCCCACCCTATCCCTCTTCAAAAAACGCCTTGACGATACTCTGTCACATTTACACTACGTGCTATAACCCATGACCACAGATGCTGGCACTAATGCACAACAGACAGTGTATAGTGCCATAAGCCTACTCGAGAATGAGTCACTCTAAACCCTTTGTACAAAATTTGATTGGCGCTGCTACTATAGAAACTGGATTTCTGTATCCTGTCGATCCGAGATAGTTGCACACGATTAAACGTTATCCTTGTTATTTTTTTCTCTTCTTGGGCTTGATCAATGTCCACTCCCCTTATTGGTTGGTGTGCGCACATTCTAATTTCAAACCCCTTAATACGGCGGTGTAGTTAAATCTGTGTTCGCCCGAACTGACGATTCCATTATCCCTTGATCTTTCTTTTCTCACTCTAAACACCCTACGGGACATGTCAAACACCTGCTTTTTTTACCCGTTATAAATCGTTGTTCATTTTTCATTATGAACGTGGCCGAATCGGACGGGGCTATCTCAACGGAGAGCATGATTTATGATCACTTCTGCTCGAGCGGATGATTTCTCTACTGTTTGATGTACGCGAACAGGTATTAAACATTTGTCTCTGCCTTCCGTCTGTGTAAGAAGCAGGAATATTCCTCCAACCTACGACCCCTGAAGATTGTATGCGGAAAGAAAGAAGAGTGCGCGCGCATCCTGCGACGGACTCAACGTCTCAAGGGTGAACCTTTCTACGTGTTACGAAACTTCTCTCCCGAGGGCCGAACTAAAATGAGGAAGTCTGTGGGGGAGCTACGAACGCGCCGGGTGAGTGGTGATACCAACCTATATATCGTGGATTTTTACCTAGTTCGGAAGTGCACAAGAGCACGCTGGGGGCAGATTCTTTTCACCCCCAGACAGTAAAGTATGTAAACGGACTACGCGTGCTATCTGCCAATATGCGCAGTCTAAGAAATAAACTGGATGAAATTCAGTTGCTTACTTCAGAGGCTCGTCTAGATCTGATGGTCTTCACCGAAACCTGGTTTTTCTTTATTCCCCGTCGAGGCAGATTATGGTGCAGTTTAATCGTGGCTTCTACTTTCTACAAGAATTACACTACTCACAAAGGCCACCAGTAACTCTCTGAAATCACGGACTCGGTAATGTCAATTCCTGGATATCACTACACGCGATCCGATCGCCACAGTGTGAGGTCAAGTGGTGGAGCAATTCTCTACTGGAAGACAGATCTCAAAGTACATTTCGTTGGAGCTATCAGTGACCATGATGACAATTTCGTAGCCCTTTGGTGCCTTTTGATGACGGATGCAGATCTCTCTTGGTCGGTGTCGTCTACCGAGCGCCATCGGGCTCCGGAGCTCGCTTGTCGGGCTCGATAAGGATACACGGTGGGCCTAAGGACTGTCTTATCTTGGGGGATTTCAATGCACCGGATATGGATTGGGACCTACTTCTCCGTGATCACCGATCTGACTTCTTCGATGCCACAGTAGATAAAACGTCTCTCGACTGCAGCCTCGTTCAGCATGTCTTGACGCCTACTCGTATTTTCCCAGACCAGACCTCGCATCTCCTCGATCTCGTGCTCTCCCCGGCAGATACGGATGTTACAAACCTCTGTTCTTCAACCAACAGGCAAGAGTGATCATTGTGTTGTTTCATTCCACTGGGCTCGCCGTGTCACGATCCATAGTCACAGTGGACACCGGCGGAATTTTTGGCTTGCTGATCCACTCCGTCCAATGAAGCTTCAGAAAAGCCGACAATACGAAATATCTTTTGTACACCACACCGGAATTGCACCCAAAATGCTCTACACTTATTTGAAAAGAAGCAATAGAGTTGGTAATGGCAGCCCTGCTTTGTGTTTCTGTGACCATCAAGGTTTACTCCATGAGAACGCTGAGAAAGCTAGTCAGTTGACCAAGCAATACGCTTCTGTTTGCGCGAAAGAAACACCATTTACTGACACAGCTATATCCACCTTTCCATCTTCGTTGGCCCAAATAAGTATTAACACTGATTCTGTGATGAAACTTCTTCTTGAGTTAGATCTGTACAGCTCACCCGGCCCTGCTGGATTGCATCCTTTGTTCCTCATGACTGTGACGGAGTACATGGCTTCACGCATATGTGGTCTTTCGTCGCTCACTAGAAGCTGGCCGTCTTCCGTCAGCTTGAAAAGCAGATCTCGTCAAACCCATCTACAAAGGAGGAAGCCGACATGATCTGGCCAATTATCGTCCAATCTGTTTGACGTCAGTAGTATGTAAAGTTATGGAACGATTCTAAAATCAAGCAGTTAATCTTCATCTTGGGGACAGAATATCATTGCTTATACCCAGCATGGGTTCCGAGAAACACGCTCCTGTACCTCGAACTTGGTCGTTGCTAAGGAGACCTGGGCAAGGTCCCTGGACTCCAGCAAAAGCTTGGAGGTTATGTTTGTTGACTTAAGCAAAGCCTTTGACAAAGTCCCACGTGAACGGCTTCTGTTTAAACTCCAAGGAATGTGTATTTCTGGGAACCTCCTGTCTTGGATCTCCGACTTCCTAAACGACCGCTCCTTGCAATTGAAGGTGAATGACACAATTTTTCTCCTGTTCTCATGACTAGTGGGGTCCCTCTGTCCCCTACATTTCAATATTTTCATCAACGACTTAGCGTTCACTCTTCAGACGGACTGCCTAATCTACACTGACGACCTAAAGCTGTGGATGGCAGTATCCATCTTTGAAGACGAGGACAGATTACCATCTACGCTCGATCTACTCCATGATTAATCGATTACGTGGTATTTGCCCGTAAATCGTGATAAATGCTCTGTTCTTCCGGTTGGCTCATCTAAGTCATTTGGAACTTACTAAATTGGTAGGTCCTTGCTCAGTGGCGTACCCCAAGAGAGGGATCTTGCTGATAGTGTCAACAAACTTCAGATCTATTCAAGACACCCAGACGAGGATCGCCACGGCCTACAAGATGTTCCGTGCCATACGTAGAGGGTTTTCTCTTCCGACCCCGGGGCTTTTTCGACTCCTCTTTGGCTCGCACGTATGCCCGATTCTCGAATATGGGATACCCGCTGCCTATCCGCTCACCAAATCCGAATGTGATATGATAGAGTTCAACGGCGCGGATCCAAATCTGTCCCTGAGTTGCGAGACCTGTCGTATCCACTCCGACTTCAATGACTGAACTTGTTCTCTCTAGGTTACTGCCGTCACCGCGGAGATTTTATATTCACTCGACGTATTCTCAGAGGAGAACTGGGTTTCGAGTTACAGGACTTCTTGCAACTCAACACTGAGAGTTCGACAAGAGGCCACCGCTTGAAACTGTTCAAACCGAGGATTCTCCGTGTGCGGCTCAATCTGGCCTTATCAACTCGCGTAGTGGATGATTGGAACCGGTTGCTGGAGCCTATTGTTGATGCTGAGACAGCGGAAGCTTTCCAACAACTGTTGGATTCTCACCTGAGTGCGCTGGGATTCTGCTGCCTCTAAGACAGCTACAGTGGCCATCTGCGGAATTTTGTGCCGCAATGACCCATGCCATCTCCGCAATGGTCGGGAAGGAAAGGAGCTGACAAAGGATCTAACTTCTGCTCTCTATCAGCCAATGACCTAATTCACCGCAGTTGGGCTCAACTAACTTACACTAAAATCAGGTCTTTTTCAACTGGATAAATTGCATTCCACTTTATTTGGTTTGTTCTGCCTACCTGAATAATCTTCTATTAACTAGCCACGTTGCTTACGCTAATTGTGGCCACCTTCGTTAACTTTATTGCGTTTGCAGCATTTTTGTGTAACTTCTGGACCTTTTGTACTTGTCGTGGATACGTTGCTAACCGACTTACTTCATAGGCTAATTTAGAGAATAGTTGTCGGCATAGCCGTATGCTTTAACAGATTTAATTTATTTGAAATGTCACCTCAAGTGATCGGCTGTTGTTTGACATCCCTGGTTTGGCTGCGCTTGACGTGCATGTTGACAAGGTGCCTACCTGTATATTACCCGCTAACTCGTCCATATTGTCTCTAGGAGACAGTTGGTCGTTGTTGGAGGGGACGGCGTGCACGGTCCTTGTGGTCGTGCTAAGCTCGAAGATTGGTTCCATGCACTCAGTGTGGAGCGGACCACGGTCCAGTCACTGCCTTGTGTGCGGTTGATACCCAAATATAGCGTGCTTGTGTTTGTCTGTGAAGGAGTGTGTGCCGACTTTGTTGGTGAAACGTAGCTACTATCCACATGCCTCCTGGTCTTATTGGTTGGGGTTTACACTAGATATGGAGTGTGTGCTTTGAATTGTGGGTGGTGCAGCGCAAGCGAGCCATGGTCCCTCTGTAGGCCCAGGCGTCCTGCGACTGGCCACAGTGACTGTCGAATCCGAAACCGGATGCCTCCAACCATATATAAGCAAGAAAAAGATTGAAGAATGGTTTGCGAACGAAAATAATATGAGAAGTGTTGAGCTGGTTGATGCTATCTAGCTAAAAGCATTTAGGGTGTTGGTGTATCCCATTTTTAGTGACTGTGCAAATATCTTTGTTTTCTGTCCCAACTTTTGTGATAAGGGAATAGTTCCTCGGAAATTTCTGGTTTCCTTTCATTTTGGGACCCCGAACAGGATGAAAGACGGCGTTGACCGGTGATTTGACACATTAAATAAATCAGTGCAAGCCTTTCATAACCCATCCAAAATTGTTAGAAGCGCTGTTTAATCGTGTTTCGTGCTGGTTGGTCCCATGCAAAATTCATTTTTGTCAACCATGATTAAGTAATTTGGGACTTGTTAGATTGTTTCCAGATATCGAATACCTGTGAGGTTATGCACTATGTCACTTGAAAGGTTATTTTTAACACAATAAGGTATTTTTCCACGATTCGTCTTTGTACACTCATCTCAGAATCTACCTCTTTAATACACTTCGCACACCTTATTTGAATGCAAGCCTGCTTATGAGACTGTCATATTTTTTTCTCAATTTCCGCTTCAGACATCGCTCAGAATGTCATATCTGAATCTGTCACGGAACGACTTCGGCGAAGCTGCTACTGTTCAGTTTGGTAGAGCATTACCTCAGGCAACGAGCTTGGTGGAGCTAGACGTTGCTTGGAACAGGTTAGGCACCGGAGGAATGAGACAGTTCGGGAAGGGACTTGCAGTGAGTCCTCAACTGCGACACCTCCAAGCACTGTGGACATTTTTGTGTTCTAGTTACACATCATTGTTTGAATGAATACGTCCTTTTGGAAGCCATCTTTCTTGACTGGATTGCGATGTGCAGTCTCAAGGTAGACCGCTATTCGCAATGAAATAAACCTTGGTCATTTCGATCATCGCGCTCTCTGGTGAAACTGTCGCTACACCAATCACGGAGCAGCAACCCGAGATAACACAACTCCAAGCCCTCCATTCACCGCTTCTTCAACCCAAAACACACTTAAATTTGGGTGCCTTTACTGTGCGTACCCTAATACAGATGGGAAAACAAGCTGGTCTCTTACACAACCTGGAATCTCTTGCAATAGATTCAGCTTGCTAATCTGACACCCGAAATCGGGATCTTAACACGGTCTGCCAACTCTCATCACCCACACATCCGTTTCATTCTTTTTCTTTCTGACTGCCCCGAGTCCACTGCAGCTGGGCAAGCTGGTGTTTGAATTGCCCTTGGTGCCAGAGCCGAAGCCGCAGTTCTTGAACGGATTCTTTTAACAATCGCTCTTTTTGCTATCGTCTATGTGCCTACTGACTAGCCCGGACACAGTCAAGGACCTATTCTAGCAAAACCTGCATGATCTGACTCTAAGGACCTCAAAACAGACACCACTGTTATGGCGGCGATTTCAACGTACGTGTTGATCATTTACTGCCAAGCGAACGTCATGTCGGAGGTCCGCGTAGCTACAAAACCTTCGTCCATATATATATATATATATATATATATATATATATATATATATATATATATATATATATATATATCACAACCTGCAGTTGTTCATTCACAGCTTTTGAGTTTTTTTTTAATTTTTTGTGTTAGTAGGAGAAGGAAGGTCTATCACCACAACACGCGGATATATATGTCCGCTATTGACGTCGGTCTTTAGTCATGACTTCCAGGGTCTCCAACCAGCAACACTTTCTATCTCTAAATCCCATCCATGGAGTGGAGAACAGCCGACCAAGGACAACTGTTTCGCAAGCGCTCCATGTTGCTTGTTCACCGCGTCGCTTGGTCCAGTCCTGTCCAGCAACCACGAGCAAACCTCGACGCGGAATACGATTAACGGGTATGCGCAGTGCGTATCCAAGTCACCCAGCTGGCGAAGCGGAACGATTATTTGGAGTGAGTGGCTGCTTCCACCCAAGGCACGCTGGCTAACTTCCACATGGGTTACGTGGTGCAGCCACCGTACACAAGCTATGGACTGCAGGAAACGACACTCGAAAACAAAGAGATGGCGCAGCTCAACGGTACGAAAGGCTGTTCAGCATATGCGACGACCATCAACTTTATCTATCCACTCTGAACTTCCGTTACCCGATACGCCACTATGCCACTTCGTGCGCTCCATCATCGTCTCAGCATTGGTTACAGTTTGACCATATCGCTGAAACCGCCGGTGGCGTGGCAGTTTTCGTGACTGCAGCTCATATCGGTCAACTAATATCAAATCTGATCATGTGCTGGTAAGTGCTGCGGTATGCATACGCCTCGGGGCTTGCCTAGAATTGAAGCAGTTCGTTCGAACACTGCTCCTTTGAAAGAGCTCTCTGCGCAAGTGGAATATCAACGGAGGCTCCGTGACAATCTCACTTTTACCCCTCCTCTGGGCGTTGAGCAGCATTGCCTACGCTTACTACAGCTCATGATTTTTGCGGGTCTGTCAACCTGCGGTCTTGTTCGTTTATTATCTAAAAGTTGGATCTCGGCGACATCGTCGGAACTACTTGACCTGTCGATGGTCTATTCTCGTCAAGGCAGGGAACACTGTACTCCGTCGGACCGTTTCTCAACTACTGAAAGCAAGTTATCGTCGGGATCTTGAATCCAGCACAAGAACCGGTGACATCCTCTTTGCTATCATGTTGTGCATGGCCTGTTTGCACAGATTTTCTTACTGATGCAGAGCCAGAGATAAATCCAGACACTGCAAAAATGCGAAGCCCCAGGCTCTGACAGCTTTTCCTGGCCCTGTTCAAAGACGAATGGAATGCAGTTGTTAGCGCACTGCTCTGGCTTTTCATGAAGGTGTGGGTTGATGAGAAGATTTGCAACCCTTGGGGCGAATCTACCTTGGTCCCGGTCTCCAAGAAAAGCTCCCGCAGCGATTACAACAACAACAAAGGAATTTCAGTTATCTCGGTCGCGTCTAAGGTGTTTGTGTCCATGTGGCTCCACATTCTTTCAGCTACCAGAAAGTTTGTCTCGCGAGGATCAAGCTTGTTTTCGCACCTGTCTAGGGTACACCCACCAGACCTTCACCCTGCGTAAACCTCTTGAAATTCGTCACATCCACTGAAGACCAACAGTAATGGTGTTCTTAGATCTCCGTTCCACCTTTGAACCCATGGACAGAACATCTCTTTGGAACCATCTGCTAAGCAGCGGGGCAGTTGACAAGTCTATCGCGACCCTGATGGAACTTTATCCAGCTCTACACAGTGCTTCCCAACTCTTGGATCTAACCTGTTTGGATTATACTCGGGCTCCAGTTCCCAGTTTTCGGCATATTCTTTGCCGAGTTCCACATGTGTAACTGCATCAAACCGGTTTTTCGGAAAAGATGTTGGTCTCATTCTGAAGAAGAAGCCGAGGGCTCGCAAACTACGCGGCAACCATCCCTGCAAAATGCAGCATAACAAATTCATTTTGCTCAGTTCATCAACTGAACAGCTCTAGGGACGCTTCTCAGCGCTCCACCTGCATCGTCGCTTAAGGCAGGCCGATTAACACACGCTGTCGCTTGGTGTGTGTGTGTGTGTGTGTGTTCAACTGCGAGTCGTTTAATCGATGACCCGACAGTCTGCGCGTCACGACTTCCATCTATCTCTACCGTCCGACCTTGGTGCGGTTGAACAACTCTCAATTCGTGTGCGTGTTCTGACCTGTTTGTGTGTCACGTTGGAGCAAACAACACTCATCAAGTTGAGCGCTTAGATAGGCCTTGCTTTAAACAATAAGAGGACGACTAGCATTCCAATGGTTCAACGTAGCCAATGTTGCGCAGACAATTGCAGTAAAGTCCTTAAAATCCGTGCAACCTGTTCTAGCTGCATTAGATCGTGCTGTCCGTAATGCGTAGACAAACCCGTCCAAGAAGTGAGACAGACTAACAAAGTTGCTAACACAATTTGGTTTTGCCCAACATGTCAAGTCATTCCAGTTGTCAACTGGTCATCTTTGCTCATGAAAAAGTGAGATAGGATGACTGAGATAATCGCCCGTTTTGTAAGCACTAAGATAGATCCCACGGAGGTAAATATGGCCACGATAATACCTCACCCAGCGAAAGTAAGCTTCGAATCTAAACCGAAGAAGAGAGCTAGACTCTCCAACCGCACTGCAGCGTCCGTAACTCTAAATCCACTGATTCACCTCGCTTCCATAAGTGGACAAGCCTCAAACATTCCTGCTTCCACTTCTCCAACCATAGACACTTCACTTGGAGATTCAGTCATGATACCGACAGCTAAGAGCCGAAGGCAATCCGGTGCAGCTAACAAGCAGGTAACGTACGCATCGGGAGCGACACACACAGGCCCATTTTTATACCGAGCCCGCGTGGCGCAAAGCGGCTTTCACTGTCAACTCTAGTGGTGCCTTTTAAACAACTCAAATTGTCCGCGAAACTATAAAGCCAACACTCGATAGACAAAACCACGCTGCGTTAACTCATGTGCACTAATGCTCCCGAATCCAAATCTGGCACGATAAAAGGCAAGTTGCAAGACAATCGCAACCAATGGAGTTCCATCTGCGAAGCGATTGGCATTCGGGCTGAGCCTGCAATGTTGCAACGTGCAGCACTTCATCCGACGTCAGTGCACTCTGGTGAACGTCGAATTCTTCGAGTAACACTAGACTCAGCAGATGAGACAGAGGCTGTCCTGCTGTCAGCAGTTCGTCTTCGCAATTCACCGAGCGGAGTGCGCATATTACCTGATCTACCTTGGAAAGATCGCCCAAAAGAAGCAGTTGAGCAACGCAGTATTGCTACTAGGGATAGCAATAAAACTATATTTGTTCATGGTATTCCCGAGCTTCTGCATTCTTCTGATCACGATGCGCAAACACATGACCGAGAGCAGTGCTGGTACGTCCGCGAAGCACTCTCTGTTGGCAATGTTATTACCAAAGCCTTGACAAGAGTTCCGTTATCACCTAACTACAAGGGCTACGGTCCAAGGCTAATGAAAGGAATACTACACTCCGAGGGAATGACGCAAGTTCTGTTGGACAGCTGGTTAAAGTTTCGAACTAGATTGCCAACAGACATCCGGCTAAAGGCAGCAGGCGAACGACCAAAAGTCGGCAGCAATTCGATAGAACTTTCAAACGCTGCTAATTATTTATCTGCATCGTCCTGCGGAAAGACCGACACAAGAGCGTCCAAGACACAGAACAGGAGAGAGCACAGCAGAAGTGAAACGTCTGTTCAGGAACGCTCAATAATGGCATAAAACTTGACAGAAATACATGAATAAAAAAACAGTTAATGGCCGGCCACCTAACGGCCGGCTTGAAAACTTACAAAAGTTGACATCCATCAAATCACTCCAGACAACAAAACCATATCTTGCATGTACACAAACACCCAAGGCCTTCTAAGCAAGTTGGTCGAACTTAGAGAACTCCATGCCTCAGCCTCGGGACCACGTCATGATTAAAACTTGGTTAAAAACTTGATTAAATCTTGGTTAAAACTTGCGATAACAGATTCTGAGATCAATTTACCCGGCAAGTCGCTGCTCCGGACCGATAGAACCGGAAGGGGTGGCGGTGGGATACTACACTATAATACAAACCTCCGGTGTGAACTTATCGATCCCCGGGCAATCCGAGCTCCCGATTCGCTTTGGTGCCGCCTATGGTTGCGAAACAAGGACGCATATCTACTAGCCGTGATTTATCGCCCACCAAACTCAACTTTGGAA